GGTTACCTTGGTTTAAGCTTTGAACCACCGGCACGTTGGCGCCTTTCTGTCTGATCAACACTGAAGCAACATGTTGCAGGTTTTGCGGACCACAAATGTCGCCTGGGCGCGATGGGTGTTCTCAAATCATCTTTTGTTGTTCAACCGCTGTTCCCGAATTATTCATTCCCCCTTTGTGACCGAGTCAAGCCCTCTCTCCTCTGATCGCCCACCTGCATTGACGTGCTAATTGTGGACTGCAACAGCCCTCCGGCCAGGTGGCCGGCGCCTTTCTGCACAGGCATTTGGGGGTGCTGGATACGCACCCAAACGTTTAGACATGCCCAAATTAACTGGAACTTTAAACACGATACAATTTTGCTCATAGATTCATCTAACAAGCTACCAGAACAAAATGGCTATTTGTAATTGTGCACGGTCGGGTTTAGTTTTAAATGGAAACACTTTTGCGGACGACACAGCAAAAGTTGTAGCACAAGAGAAATCTTCCATTATAGCGGCATGATATGTATACACTAACGACGCCTTAAAAGATGACACAACGGCAGCTCTGGACATTGAGAGGAAAAAAAAAAGAGATTTGGAATAACCAAGCTAAACTCACAAGCGACCCTTACTTATGACAATTAGACAATCGTATACTACCCAAAATCTTATACAAATGGGATGCAAATTGACACATGAAGCATTCATATGTGTCAAAGGGGGGATGTGTTGTATAGTACCAACTTGTGGTTTAAATAATTACTTGAAAAAAAAGTGTTTTATGTTGTGACAACAATGCCCATTTTGTTTTCCTGAATTGTGAGAAAGATAGGAGTGATGTTTCATATTGATCTAAGAAACAAAAAATCATTATGCTTAGAAGATCGTGTATCAGGGACATCCTTCCAATACCGTATGGGCCCGAATATAAGACGGCCCTGATTATAAGATGACCCCTCTTTTTCAAGACTCAAGTTTGAAAAAAGACTTTTTGAACACCAAATAAATTTTTATACAGAAAATAATTACAGTACATCTGAAACAAATGATTGTAACAAGATATTTGCGAGAAAAGCATGTTATTTTGCCTCATTCAAATCTAAAGTGTAATCACATTCGAAAATGAATGGCTTCTGGTTTTTGAAATGTAAATTAAATCACAACTTCTCCTCAGCTGCCGGTTAACCTGGCCGATCTTCGACCCACTTTTCTCCAGATTGTCACTACGTTTCTCCATTTTCTGTTATCTCTTCGATTATTTTCTTCTCTTTTCCTACTTACCGGTATTTTTTATTTGTCTTCTTCGTGCTACCGCAATTTTTAGTTTTATTCTTCGTGGCAGGGTTTCACTTTGGCCTGTGGAGTCAAGTTCAGCATTCGCTTCATTGATATCTGGTGCCAGCTAGCGTCGTGAATAGGTATAATGTCTAGAGCCCGAATATAAGACGACCCCCACCTTTTCAGTCTTATTTCAATGCAAAAACACCGTTTTATATTCGGGCCAATACGGTAAATGCAAGGAGACAAACGCGGTCTTTTCAGAGTTGCCCCGGAACCTGTAACGGTTTACATGGCAGAGCCAGCTGCAGAGCTGCTCCGAGATTGTGAACCGAGACATGTTTTAGCACGACAGACAACTATGCCTGTCTCTTGAGTCTTCCTGTTCCTGATGTACTCTTAGCGTCAGATTACCAGCATTAATCTAACAGTCTTGTTTAACTTAGATTTCGTTACAAAAGACAGGCTTTAATTTGTGATCATAAATCACTCCTCCTCCTTCCGAGTCCTCACAAATAAAATATGAAATTTCAGGTTTGCTTCGGGCTCGGGCCTGCAAATCAAGTTCATTGGTCAGGCTCGGGACGGGTCGGGCTTTAATACCCGCGGGTCGGGTCGGGCTGGATTTTTTTCGGCCCAATTTTATCTCTAATCTGAATAGGCGCGATTAATCTGACACAGAGCATACGTTTTACCGTCATGATAAAAAGAACATTTATTTGATTCAAACAACTTTTTTGAGATGTACCTTGTTTGAGAATGAGTGAAAATGGAAAAAATGTTTTTTGTTGCCTGTAGTTTCAAAAGAAAGGAGAAAAAAGGGAAGAATTAAATCGATGGACACTACGCTGAGTCTCCAGTGCTGTATCCTTCTCAAATGTTGACACAGACTATTAGGTGCCATCCTCACTAAAGAGAAGTGGGAGACAGACAGTGAAAAGACATAGAGCCAAAGAGTGGAAAAGATTTTTAAAAACACACACACACACACACACACACACACACACACACACACACACACACACACACACACACACACACACATACACACACACACACATAAACCCCAACCTGAAGTGTGATCCTCAGTCAAATGTACACGTTTTATATTTTAAGTTTTTGTCATTGGTCTTGCAATCACATTTGTTTTTTTCTTTATGCGGGCGGATAAACCACAGTAGCCTCATTGGGTAGATAATTTTGCAAAGAAACACATTTTTTCCCTTTTTATTTGAATAGCCTGAAGTTCCAACCAACCGAGAGTAAACACATAACAGAGATGAAAGTCCTCCGGATTTTTCCCGGAATTCCAGATTTTCAAATTTTCTTGAAAATTCCTCCGGAAAATTGCCTAAAATTAATCTGGATATTAGTTGACAACATTGAACGAACACGCGTTTGAGTTCGTTGTTTTGATGTCACGAGCTTAGCCATGTTGAGGCACTAACACTAGTAACAGTAAAGAGATTTTCGTCTCTTTATAAACACACTTGCTAAACCCCAGTGGAACGAATAAAAGACACTGTGGACAAGACAGTTGTCGTAAAAAATATATTTGGACAAAATGGGAAACACACAGATTAGCAGAAAAACGTGTCCGTCCGACTTTGAACGTCGTGTCGTCTCGGCGAGCTTAGTTAGCTGTTGTCGTAGTTCAAAGATTCTTTGATATGTGACGTCGGTTGCATCGGTGCTGATTGGTTGAAATCAAAAGACGCGCGCGTGCGTACACGTCCGCGCAGATGCACGCACAGCAGAGAGCAGCGGACTATCGACTGCTGAGGCGCGCTTCGCTCGAGTGGCGTCGCTACAACAGTAACACCCTCCACAGTAACACCAGGTGGACAGGCAAGCTGACATATGTTGCAGCTCCGAAAAAGAAGCGCTGTGGTGTTGGTTTTTAAAATGGATACTTTATTCATGCTTTTCAGTCTCAGCCAATACAGACACGTCCTTCTCCGTCTCCGTGCCTTCTCTTCTGTCGTTTTACTCGAGAGGGTGAGACAAGATGGCGCTGCTCTGCAGGCGACATGGAGGAAGGCCCCTCCTGCTGCTGCATTCTGTTTGGCTGTTTGTGGTCTGTTATGTTGTTTTGTGTTGCTCTGCACACTGGACACAGCGTCTACTTTCTCTGCACTTGTGTTTGTGCGTCAATCTGAGTGTTGATGCATTAAACTGGGGAAGAATGAAGCCTCTGTTTTTTGTATTGCTGATGGTATCCGGCTGTTTTTCTTTGTCGGAGTGAAATGTTTGTATTGTTTTTCTTTGAAAACATTGTGAGTTGTCATCTTGTTTATGGTAGTTTTGTTTTTGTAATTTCGTTTGACCTGAGTTCATTTTCAGAGTGTGTTTGAACATATTTATACATTTTTATCTTGGAACAAAATGTTGTGTCTTAGTTTGTTTTATTTCTTTTTGTATTCTTGATGTCACAGTGTTAAAATAGAAGGTCACGTTTGCTTTTAGCGCTATGATGCCAACATCAGACTGATACAAAAATAAATAAACATCAACAAACTGTAACGCAACAATCGCTGTGTTTACACTAATGCACGAACCTACAAGATCATAACGTCACGCCTGTGCTTTGTGATACGAATGCGCCCATTTGATCGAGAAATTTGCCATCAAAGAGCAATAAATGAATATCGAGGTGGATTTTGCCTCCTGAGGGTGCCATTCCCAGGTCAACTGATTCATGACTACCACATACTTGTCAACCTCTGCTAATAGCTGCCCTTATAAATGATTACGATTCCCCTTACAAAGCAACAAAAACCCTTACAACATGCACCGCGCAGCGCATACTAACATTACTTGCGGAAACCAGACAGTGTAATATAAATAACAAGGATAATTTGTATAAATAAAATCTTTTCTTCAAATGACAAAGTTTACAATGTAATACACCAGTTCAAATACTCTTTCAGCTTTTTTCCAATGCACAAAAGCACACACCGTGCCCTCAGTGCTGCTTATTGTACGCTGATGTGGATCAGAGGTAAGATCGGGGCAAAAAAATCCAGCCCGACCTGGCCCGAGCCCGACCAATTAACTTGATTTGCAGGCCCGAGCTCGAAGCAAACCCGAAATTTCCTATTTTATTTGTGATTTATGATAACAAATTAAAGCCTGTCTTTTGTCACGAAATCTAAGTTAAACAAGTCTGTCGAAATATTTACATCTTTTATACATGTATTTCTGTTTCTGCAGAGGGTACATTAACCGACAATTTTCCATCATTGACGGATTTTTTTTTAAGAGTTGACGGAAAAATGTAAGGCTGTCCGTCATTTTGACGGGTTGAAAATTGGGCCATTCACCACAGCAGCGGTTTAAAAACAAATCTTTTTTAAATGATTTTTTGTTATCCATCAACCAGACCAAGTCGAGGGGACACTAGGGCGTCCCAGGTATCCAACCAGACTACCCTCATTCAGATCTGATGTCCCATTTCAAAATAAAAGGTCTCTGAAATCTGACGTTTTGACCATTTTGCACGATTTTTAAAAAATCTTAAACAAATGATTTTTAGTTGTCCCTAAACCAGACCAGGTCTATACGACACTGGAGCACCCCGGGTATCCAAACACAATACATCAATTCAGATCTCATACTGTATAGCATTTCTAACATTATTCTGAATCCAAACCACTGACGTACCTGCCTGAGTTGTAGAACTTTATTTTGAAGGTGGCCAACGCCCGCTCGCTGGCGGCAGATGTTGTAAAGCAGAGTACAGGGATTAACAATCGCTGTGGTGGCTGGTTTGACCGCACGAGGAGGGTAGACACCCCTCACCGAATTCTCCTGAATTTTTCATGGACGTGCTCAAACCTCCACTTGGGGTGTCCACCATCAATTCGCTGGGCTGAAAAATCTTTCGTTGAATCATCGTGTCCGATTAAAGTCATCTCGATGTACGTTGATGTTGCTCGGCATAGTTTAGCTTAGCCTAGCTTGCTTGCCGCTAACATAGAGGCGCTTGTGATCAACACAACGCTCAACAGAGATCGTAAGCGTCAAGTGTTGTTGTAATTTTCGTGTGAACATGTGGGCAAGAAGGACAGCAGAGTACGAGGAGGAACTTTGTGAAGAAAAAGAGGACCACAAGGGACAACGTCAACTGCTGGACGCCATTGGCAGGATACGGCCAAGAATTGTTCTTCACAGAGCAGGTTGGGTCACGATGTTAGTCACACTAGTTTACTCCTCTTTTTAACAGCCTCATATGCTGTCTTTCTTGTTTGCAGGACACACACGCACGCACGCACACACACGCACACACACACACACACAGATATATATATATATATAAATATAAACTCTTTATTCGTATGCTGTCTTTCTTGTATACAGTATCTCTTTCTCTCTCTTTCTCTCTTTGTGTTTGTGTGCAATGCTCCTTCTAAGCCAGTATTATTCAATCTTTTTCAAGCCAAGCCACATTTCTTTCATTGACAAAATCTCGCGGCACACCACTCGCTGAAAATGTGACAAAAAGCTTATTTTTAACAAGTAAAGTGTTATATTGTGATTATAAGCGTTTTTCAAACATTGAAGAATGTTGTATTACAACACCCTGAATAGGAATCAAATAAACATCAATCAAATATTTTATAATCTTTCATATTTATTCTCACTTGGTGTGATAAATGGTTTGGATGAACACAGATCTGATATCCTAGCAGCAATCAATGAAAGAAACACACAGCTCTTCCTCCACAGCTCTCAGTCTTTCTATTATTAGTTTTTACAGCAGTCAGGCGATTCCTTTAGCCACTACGGGTCCGAAAGTCTCATTTACATTGCCACTGGGAGTTTTTTTTTCTTTTTTTTATTTAGCCACAAGTTCAGCGACATCAGTGCCGGACCCTCAGGGCCAGCAAGGCCTTCTCTGCTGGCCTAAACATTCTCAGAAAAGTAAATTTACTTTTTATTTTCATAAATATGTAAACAAAATTATTCTCTGTATTCTTTACGTCATAACATTTCCATTTAGTCGAGTGCCTTTCAATGTTATTTTAAATAACATTGAAAGCCACTCGATAAATAACTTATTT